ATCAACATTGACTTGCTATGTGGTACATGAGGCTGGCGTTTGATGCCTCATTTGGGGAGATTAGCAGCCAAGCTGAGGACCATACCTCATTTTACCTCCATCACTGAAGGTCAGAGGTGAGATGTGCAGGAGCATCTTATCTTGCAACACAAAAGCTTAAGGCTACAGATTATAGCTCCAGAAGAACAGCTTGTGACGGACTTGGTAATTGGTGTCAATTTGTATAGAACATTAGATGATGACTAACCCTTTGAAGACACTTATTCATTGAGCTGCAAACAGCAAAGATGGTGTCTTGTATGGTCATAATTTTGATTTGATTGAATCTTGCTCATCAAATTAATACCTTCCATAAATTAATCACCTACCTAAAATAACAATTTCCATATTAAAGGAGCATTAACCTGAAATCATACCGGGGATTTAACTAGATCTGCTCGACGGACAATATTCGGCTCCACATCTGCAGCAAATATAAGCAGACATTCCCAAAATGACATTTCCCTATTTATGCTGGTATAGATATAACTAATGGTATGTCATGTTTATAATTATATTTATTCCCATGTTCAGATAGATTGTACCCTGTTCTATTCTGTACAATAAACGTTTGTGATTCTTCCTCATAATAACAAGACCAATATAGAGGAAAAGGTATGACGCTTAGTTTAACATGACTGCACTGAATGATATGTTCAAATTCAATGTTAAAATACTTCTGAACTTCAGGAAATAACCACATTAAAACAAATTACTATTGCCAACAAAATAACATTTTTCCAATTTGCCTGCCATGGGCACCTAGTCTAGAATCCTAGATGAATCCCTGAATAAAAATATGTCTCAATCTAAATTTCTAATTTACTATACTAGCCCGAGATATGAGAAAAAACATTTCTAATACTGATGAAAGCATTCAAAAACCGAGGTGGAACTTGTCATGGAAATTGTATAAAAAAAAGTAGAGTTTGGAACCTAAGTCCATCTTGTTGCCATGGAAACGTAAAAAATAAAAATTTCTTAAATTTCTAAATAGCAAAAGGCACCAGTTCAGCATGTACCTGACAGACCTGCAAAGTTTGATGAAAAAATATTGAACGGTTTATGAGTTATGCTCCGGAAACGAAACGTGACGGACGGACGGACGGACGGACGGACGGAGCCCGTTTCTTTATCTTCCGCCAACTTTGTTAGGCGGGGGATAATTACCCAAACATAGAATATTTTTAATAAATCCTTCCACTCAATTATTCCATCTTTACCTATCTATCCACAAGTGGCTTTGAAATGAAATACCCAGGGCCTATATCTATGTGTGGTTGTGGAATGGTGGCCTTTCTTTCCAACGGTAACTCAAGCCCCGTCATGAGATAACTGCCATTGTTATTGGCCCAAGCTGATTAGCTGGGAAGAGACAAGCATGTACTGCCATTCCTGGAAGGATTGTAGGGGTCAGGCATGAGGAGGGAGGGACATGTTCTGGGGAAGCGAGGGGGGATTGAAGGGGGGCAAGACTTATGTTTTTATCGAGATGCAACAGTGGCAGATCTTGTCCAGCAGTGGAGACTTTGTGGAAGAATGTTCCAGGATATTATTGTATGTGTTTTAGCATTTCTGGAGAATGTTTTATGAAGAATGTCAACAATCCAGAAAGATAAAGTACACATGAAACATGAACACGTTTCATTGAAGCATCATGTCTGTTCCCACGGCAACAGCATTGACATGATGAGCTGAATCTTAATTTAAACTGAACAAACTACATCAGCTTTTTGTTTCCAGCAAGACACAACAGTTTTATTGTCTCAGCATCATGTATGTAACTTCTGTTTCAAATTATTTGATTAAGTTTAAAATATCTCGAGAGATTTACCTCGACCTGCTTAGAAGTTGCCCCAAATCAAAAGTAAATGTCACTTAAATGTCCCAAATTTAAATTAAAACTTTGCCAGTCATGTTATTATAGTAATAACAATGTTTAATCATAGCTTTGCAAATACGACTTTCATTTCACTGACAACAGGACCAATTAACATGAAAAGGCTTCAATGTTTAATGTTTAGCCTTACATTTTTGCATCGAATGAATTATTAGAATACCACTGAATTTAAGGAAACAAGGACTTTAAAAAAAAAAAATTGAAGAAAAGTATTCCCTCCCCATTTGTCTGCCAAGGATACTTTGGAATCGTTGATAAATCCCTGGTAAGTTCACAATGAAACTGAATGAAACCAACACTGACATCATCTGATGAAACCGAGCCTCTGAAACCATGCCGGCATCCAATTGTTCCAGCATCTCATGTACAGATAGTCTTACACATGGTCTCCATGTACACCAAGGTATGCATGGGCTGGGTATATGAGGGAACCAGTGACAGAACTGGCAAGCTGACACAAGAGCACTGTAGGTGTTACCCAATACCTAACATGATAGCCTGCAGTTCAGCACACCATCAGTGTCCAATGGCTTAATATACCTGCTCATGTTACAATGGATACTGATAAATTAGTGATTTAAAATATTTTGTGACAAGATGTTCACTTGAGACTATTCAGTTACATGAAGATGTTGAGCTGGTTGTGTAGACAAACATCTAGTCTCTGAAATGATACTGCAGTAATATGACTTGCCAAACATTATATGGGCTCCATGGGCTGTATTTGATATTTGTATCAGGGTCTGTAAGACAGACTACTGGTTGTGCAGTGCAGATCATTCCTGAACATCACTTCCAGTTCCAAATTCAATCGGTCCCAGTAAAAATTGAAGCTGATTTTAAGTTATTTCAGTGCATCTCGCTGACTTAACGATGCTTCCTGCTGACCTTGACCTCTTCAAGAGGCTAAAAGGTTATCTCCCCATCTGCACTGGTTGTAGGTTCTAGTCTGTGGTTCAGTGGTTTCATTAACTCAACTAATCATGGTCGACGACCTCTAAACAAGATCTCATGACATTCTCTGCAGCAACAAGATTCCAAATTAAGTGCCTTAGCAGGCAAATAGGGAACAAGAATTATTTTTGCGCAAACTTGGGATTTAGTTTTTATTTTCTTAACTTCAGAGGCATAGCAAGATTGCATTCAATACAACAATGCCACTTGTCTTTACTGAACCTGCCATCAGTAAAATGGAAGTCGCAATACAAAGCCATAATTATTAGTAATACCTACATTAACATGATTTGGAAATTTGTACTTCCAATGTGGAATTTGTACTGGCATTTACTGCAGACTTAGGGTTGAATATAGGCCTCAGAGCAAGTTATATAAATGTTGTTCATTGTTGTAAACACTCCTGGTTACATTCATAATCCCACGCATGCAATGATGTAGCACCATCCGCTACTGTCTTCCCTAATATTCACCGCCAATTCACTGGATCCAATCATCTAATCCAGATTGTCTCAACAAGTGCAACCTTGCACCTCTTTTATGTTCACTGAAACTTGTCCATAATACAGATAACTTCTTTCCAACCTTGGCGTCAACGTCCTTGATGGACTTTTGTTATCAACCCACACTTCAAGCAGTATCTCAAACCAAGTTATCACCTGAACATGTCCTTTAGCAAGCTTAGCTTCCTCCTTACTAAACATGATACTGCGTCCCCGTTGACTGTCATCCCTTCCTCTTCCTGGTGGTGCCACTTCATATCTGTCATAATGTCACACGCCCTCCTTTTGAGGGGCTTCATCTTCAGAGCCATGCCAACCTATCAGACCTATCAGACCTATCTACTGGAGGAGCATCTTGTCCTTGTTTGACCCGCCACCTTACTGCAGCCTCACTCCCCCTATCAGGATATACCCCTAACCCGACCCTCGAATCTTACAGACTTTTTGTGGAGGCCACACTCCCCCTGTTGGGATATTACGCCTACCCCAGTCCTCACTGAGACCTCACTCCACATGTTGGGATCGTCAGTCCTCACTGAGACCTCACTCAACGTGTTGGGATCGTCAGTCCTCACTGAGACCTCACTTCACGTGTTGGGATCGTCAGTCCTCACTGAGACCTCACTCCACGTGTTGGGATCGTCAGTCCTCACTGAGACCTCACTCCACGTGTTGGGATAGTCAGTCCTCACTGAGACCTCACTCCACGTGTGGGGATCGTCAGTCCTCACTGAGACCTCACTCCACGTGTTTGGATAGTCAGTCCTCACTGAGACCTCACTCCACGTGTGGGGATCGTCAGTCCTCACTGAGACCTCACTTCACGTGTTGGGATCGTCAGTCCTCACTGAGACCTCACTTCACGTGTTGGGATCGTCAGTCCTCACTGAGACCTCACTCCACGTGTTGGGATCGTCAGTCCTCACTGAGACCTCACTCAACGTGTTGGGATCGTCAGTCCTCACTGAGACCTCACTCAACGTGTTGGGATCGTCAGTCCCCACTGAGACCTCACTCAACGTGTTGGGATCGTCAGTCCCCACTGAGACCTCACTCCACGTGTTGGGATCGTCAGTCCCCACTGAGACCTCACTCCACGTGTTGGGATCGTCAGTCCTCACTGAGACCTCACTCAACGTGTTGGGATCGTCAGTCCTCACTGAGACCTCACTCAACGTGTTGGGATCGTCAGTCCCCACTGAGACCTCACTTCACGTGTGGGGATCGTCAGTCCTCACTGAGACCTCACTCCACGTGTTGGGATAGTCAGTCCCCACTGAGACCTCACTCCACGTGTTGGGATCGTCAGTCCCCACTGAGACCTCACTTCACGTGTGGGGATCGTCAGTCCTCACTGAGACCTCACTCCACGTGTGGGGATCGTCAGTCCTCACTTAAACCTCACTCCACATGTGGGGATCGTCAGTCCTCACTGGGACCTCACTTCACGTGTGGGGATCGTCAGTCCTCACTGAGACCTCACTCCACGTGTTGGGATCGTCAGTCCCCACTGAGACCTCACTCCACGTGTTGGGATCACTCTTAACCAGCCCCAACTTGCCTCCCCTTTGTGACTCAGCCATGTCCCCATCTATGTCACTCACCCCCTTTCTGGTGACCTCATCCACTCTCTTGAGCAGGAAGCGGCCCTCTCGGACATCCTTGCCCCAGTTGAGCTGCACCCACAGGGGCTTCTCATCCTCCAGCAGCTGCCTCTCCTCTGCAACACAAACAGCGATGTCAGACAAGGAACAATCATCAACATAATGATCAATATCAACATCTATTGTCACAACAAACATACATAGTGCAATGAGATCCTCCATCAATCAGTTGAATCGACCAATGACCTTGTCAGAGACACATACATCCATGTTTTTATTCTGCCGATGTGGCCTAGCAACGATGATGGCACTGAACCAAAAATATTTAAGTTCTTGAGAAGCACATTTATTCTCTTCATTCCATTTCTTCAGCAATAGTAACTAACAGTGACATCATGGATCATGGATCATGGATCATGGATCCAAGTCATCACCAGGTAGTCTGTCTCATTCTCTGAACAATCATTTCCTATTTCACCCAGCTTTCTGTAATGCAAAAGCCCGAAATGAAGCCAATCTAGATTTCCAGGTTCTGAATCTCACTGGGGCTCCTTTTAAAGTTAAATGGAGTTATTTGATTCTATCAAAAATATATTTTTTAAGAGCTTAAGCGATAGTCTACCATCACGGTACAATTACACACAACAAAGTGATACCTATCACAGTCAGCTCTAATGAATAAAGAGAGGTAATGGGGACCTATTGTGCTGGTAACAGGAGCCAAAATTAAAGTTAAAGGGTATCTTCAGGAGGTTTGAATCCATGGCTTGTATGATGATTGTTAACAGTCATGACCTGCATAAGTTACATAACCTGAGACAACTTGCCAATGCACTTGTATCTCCACGAAGTAAACTGACATTTTCGTGATATCCTGATTTTTCATTCGTATCAAGTTTGCGGTGTAATTTACTTTTTACCCAATACTTCTCATTGGGTAACAAAAAAGAAAAATGCATACAAGTTCTGAAATTTGGCTGGCCTTCAGTATGGCCATAAACACTACAACAGTCACAGTAATTCAGTCCATGTCCTCTGCTGCCCATCTATACATCAGCAGACCTTTGTTTGATAGGCATTTCCTAGAAGTTAACGGATGGCAAGGTAGACACAATTTATGGATAAGAACTTCTTTCTTTTACTGTAAAGGTGATGTTTTCGGTATAGATCCTTATACCACTGTCAAGCGGACCAGTGTTTTGAGTGGGATGGCAACACCAAAATAACTCAGACAGAAATATTTTAATGAAACAACAATAGAAAGACAGCAACTTTTGGGGCATTCCAGCAACTTACAAAACATGACAATGTGTGACGGCAAGTTCTGGGAGTGTATGTCTGTGACACTGTCTCATGTTGTGACCCGATGTCTCGCTATGCCTATTGTTTGAGAAGAGATTGTTACATCTTAGACACAACATCGGGGCTCTCATCATAGCCTGCATTCCTCCTCCTGAAATAACTCCCCACACCACCACCTCAGTGTAAGGAGACTGTCTATGTCAGACACATTTAAACCAGGATTAGTGAGAAAGATATTTTTTGTCAAAGTGTATTCTTGAGGAAAACGTTTGTGACAGAAAAGAAGTTGACTTCACCTTAAACGAGGAATGTTTCACAGTATCTTTTTTTTCAAGGCAGGTATGTCAAGACAGTTATGAGAAGGGAACATATACTCAGACACCTGTAATGTCTATTTCCATATGTCAATCGTTGTGGATCATAACCCAAAATTTAATAGCTTATTATGGACCTGTTGAAAACATACCTGCAGTGTCTATTTCAACATGTACTTTCCCCAGTGAGTATCAATTACGACCATGGGCCCGAAATACGATAACTCCATGTGGATCAGTAGATGATAGAACAGCATTGTACTCCTCTTTAATGACCTCAAATACATAAACTGCAGCATTTAATGATTCATCAAACATAATAAAGTCAGTCATGCAGAAAATGCAAAAATGCAATATTGCTGATGCTGCTATTTGGAAAATCAATATATGACAAAGAAGGGAAAAATTCCAATCCTTTCAATCTCTCTATAATCGACATGAGGCCTACCTTACATCAGTCATGCAATCAGTAGAGTAACCTCAGAAATGTTGCTGTACACAGTTGCGTCCCTTGGGCATGCCAGACACCTATGATTGTGGGTTTGAATCCTGGTTCGCCAACATAATATTTCTAGTTTTGTCAGCACCACGCCGATGCTCACAGGATCCACCAAAGTGGAAAATATCTAAGACATGCATCAGTCGGGTTTTCCTCCCACATCAAATATACTCTTTGGAAAATTATCCACACAAAATGTAAATGTAAATGTCCACAGTCACGAAAACAAATTACTTCATTACATCCTGTCAAATAATAAAGCCATCAATATCAACTGCATATGTTTCCGTATCTATCATTTCAAACAATAAATACACCTTCATCTTAATCAACCATTGACATTTTATGTATAATATCATCAAATATGTAATATTGATTGCATTTCCTGTGTCTACAGGAATGTAAATTATGTATGTCTGTATATATGTATATAGGAATCATAATGTTTTGTCTTTAAAAAATTGCATCTGTCCCGTAATGGAATGTTTCTGCAATAAATCTTATCTTATCTTATCTTATCATCAAGCTGTTACATTGTGATGTAACTCCCATACCGTTCAAATCAGTGCTGAACTCAACTCACACACTACGTCAGAAATAAGCTCAATTTGCTCTTATTTACCTGTATCACCATCGACAACATGACATAATACGACTAAAACAAGCTACATTTAATGTTTCACTCACTCACTCCAACTTATTTCTCCGTATGTACAACCACAGTTCCCATGCTATAACAAGCTGCAAGCATCTGAACTCGAGTTTATTTCCCTAAATCCAAACACTGTTTCCTTCTCCCCACTCCTAAGTTTATTTCCCTACATCCAAACAGTTTCTCCTTTTCCCCACCCCAAGTCTATTTCCCTACATCCAAACACTTTCTCCCCACTCCCAAGTCTATTTCCCTACATCCAAACAATTTCTCCTTTTCCCCACCCCAAGTATATTTCCCAACATACAAACACTTTCTCCCCACTCCCAAGTCTATTTCCCTACATCCAAACAATTTCTCCTTTTCCCCACCCCAAGTATATTTCCCAACATCCAAACACCCTCTCTCCACTCCCAAGTATATTTCCCAGCATCAAAACACCCTCTCTCCACTCCTAAGTATATTTCCCAGCATCCAAACACCCTCTCTCCACTCCCAAGTATATTTCACTACATCCAAACACCCTCTCTCCACTCCTAAGTATATTTCCCAGCATCCAAACACCCTCTCTCCACTCCCAAGTATATTTCCCAGCATCAAAACACCCTCTCTCCTCTCCCAAGTATATTTCCCAGCATCAAAACACCCTCTCTCCTCTCCCAAGTATATTTCACTACATTCAAACACACAGCCCTGCAACCCGCAGCCAGTCAACAACCCAGAAGATGTTACTCACTGTCATTTTGCACAGTGACTTGCAACTTGAACTGCAAGGGTGGAGTTTGTTAGAATTGATAACCGTTATTGACACAAGTGGGTGCAGTTACACCATATATCGTGCACTAAGCACATACATGTTCTTGTCTGTAGGAACATGCACGGAAGGCAAACTATCACTCATAGATTTAATCCCAGTTCAAAAGGTGAATATGATGTCAGCAAGCTCCAGTTGAAGTAATAAATCACAAGAAATAAACCTGTTTTACTTGTGTTAGAGAGGGATACACATACAGAGAAGTGGCCATTTGTAAGAGAAATTCAGCCGACGATTTCATAATGTGATCGTGTATTTTTTTCAGTGAATGATTAACATGTACACGTAAAAACAATATAAATATTTCAATGACACGAATGTTTAAATTCTACTTGAGATGAGACCAGCTGGTCACAATCTGTTCATTCTTCGTAAAAAAGAAACATATCTTTAAAACAGAATATTTCATATAAACAATAACACATATGTATTTCATTTTACCATGGATTATATATCTGCAGTAACCAAAATATTGTGACACACGTCCATTTTAACCACTGACTTTATGAATATTCAATGGCTACTGGAAAATACTTTACTTAGAAAATGTAATCTCAAATATAACACATATTTTATTATCTTTTTCAACTTTACCAAGGAATCAATAAAATAGGCAAGTAGCAACATAAATGACGAGACTAACTTCTAGTCTCTGAAATGAACATATTTTACAGAAAAAAACAGTTGTTAAATTATATTTATGAAAATAGAATAAAAAGGAGCACAGAGATTCTTCATTTTCAGTAATCTAAACTTGCGAATTATTATAGACTTGCATGGGCTGTATTGGATATATGTGTTTCAGGGTCTGAATGACAGACTAATAAATGACCAACAAGTCAATTCATGTGAATGTTTAGGAAGCTGTTTCCGATATATACTTCATACAGTATTCTGCCTGTTCTAAATTATCCCCATGACTTCCCATCAGTATCACCACATCTCAACAGACTATCCGATGCTGAGCTCTTAAACTATTTTATCAACAATCTTATCACAAACCAAAGAGACAACAGCCCCCTAACTACAAGTGACAGATTTCAAGTCAACTGTCTTTGTGGCAGACAAGGTGTTATCTTGGCTTATCTTGGACCTGCCATGGAAGTTTGGACAGGACTGTTACACCTGCACCATGACAGACAAAACAAAGCAGCGTAAACATGACCATGTCACCTGACCATGTCACCTGACCATGCCCCACAGAGGTCAAGTGTCACGTGACATGCTGACCTTTAGGCTCCACATTCAGGAGATAGCATCTTCCACATACTCAAGCCAAACCTATGCATCTCAGTCAGCATGTTGTCAACACATGATTTGGAGTGTTGATGTGTGATGTGTGACTTTTTGTGTGTAGCCTAACTAAAACATCATCTATAACAAGTGACCTTTTTCAGCCTATTTCCTGTTGCCGACATTATGCATGAAAAACATTTTTATGCAACACTGGGTTAAAAAGTGAGTGAGTGAGTATGGTTTTAGACCGCTTTTAGCAATATTCCAGCAATATGGACTGTTACACCTGCACCATGACA